GGTTTGCGATTGCGGTTCTTGTTTTGATGGAATTCATAATCTAGATTTAGATTTTAGGGTTGTTAATGCGCATTGAATTAGTGTGATTGGCAATTCGTTGGGATCATATTTGTGTGAACGACGAGAATTGCATTGTAGGGATTGAGATCTTGAATTGGTTGAATTTCATAATCCTTAATTTTCGTATTTTGTCGTTTAAATTCAAAACAAATCCTCCCCCAATCTAATTTGAAATTGCATGATGGAACTAAAAATAAAATGCATTTTATGTCCTTGAGAGATGACCTAGGTTTGCTTCTTGTATTGCACAAATTTTTGAGAAAATCTAGCTTGTTTGATACCATTGCGACGTGGTTATCAAAATGGCGCCGTTGCCGGGGACATAAGTCATTTTGTTTTTATTTCATCGTTCTGTGATTGTGTGTTTTTGTGATTCACTCTTCTGCGTGTGCATTTTTGTGTGCATTTTTGTTTTAAAGTCATTCACTCAAAATGCCTCTGATCTTTTGAAATTGCATTTGCTTCCTATTTTTTGTTCAGTATCTACCCTAACCTAAGCCCTGTTATAACCTACAAAAAGCCCTCTGGATGTGTGATTAACTGTACTAAGCAGAGGAGATGGAGAAATTAGGCAAGCATATGGTAGAGTGTAGTTGAATTGATGATTCAGAGAGAAAACAACACCCAAACACTATTGAGTGATGAGAGAAACACTTCCAAGTGAGCTGTGACCATGTTGATTAATTGTAGTCACATGAATTTTGATGAAATATATGAACTTAGGTATCAATTCTTACTCAATGATGATTATGCAGTAGGAATATCATTATGAGTATTTGGATGAACAACTTGATTGAAAATTTTGCAGAAAACACAGAATTGGAAATTGGAAAATCTGAGAAAAGCAGTTTCTTAATTGAATTTGAAAATGGAGGAACTTATGATTTGCTTGAGGACAAGCAAAAATTTAAGTTTGGGGTGGTGATGAATCCATATTTTTACTGATATTTTAGCATAATTCTAACACATTTGATAAGAAAAATATATAAAGAAAGCAGAAAAACTTAGAAAAAGAGAATGAATTGAAGTTTTCTTTCAATTTGTAGTTATCTTAGCAATTGTAGAATTTTTGCTTAGGAATTAAGTTTTTAATCTTGTTTTTGAAGGAATAATTCGAGAAAGGTTCATGTAAATGGAGGCTTGATGACAAGGAAGAGGAAAGTAGCAAGTCTGGACTCCAAAACACTAGAACAAGGAAATGCAGACTGGGCGTGATCACTATTGTCTGTGAAAGTGATCACTCCAGAGTTCAAAGAAGAAGTGAAGCTTGGGTGTTACCACTTTTGCAGGAAAAGTGAGAGTTCCAGTGAAGCCTCAGACTCAGCATGCAGGGCATTATCACTTTTATCATTAAAAGTGAGTGTTCCAGAGAGGCAAAATATCAGGAAAGCTCTGTGTAACCACTATTGTCATCAAAAGTGATCGTTCCAGAGAGCCTTCAACTTGGCGAGTTGCACGTAGTCACTTTTATTCATAAGAGTGATCACGCGCAACTACTTCAGGTTTGTGGTGACACTTTTATCAGCAAGAGTGATAGTTCCAGAGAGCTCTCACATCAGCAAAGTTGTGCGTGGCTACTTTTTCTCATAAAAGTGTTAACGCGCAACCAACTAACTTTCTGCGTAGCTACTATTTTTTATAAAAGTGATAACGCGCAAATCTGAGAATTTCTATAAATACCAGATGCGCTCAAATTTTTAGGAGTTCAATTTTATTTTTTGTTTTTCTGTTAGATTGTCGTTGAGAGAGATTGAGAGAAAAGATTGGGGTCAAGTCTTGAAGCTTCCACAAAGAGGAATCGGATTGGAGCTTTCGGCCATGGCTTTTTGGAGTTTTTCTTCTTTCTCTTTCTCTTCTCCCATGTTTGAGTAGTTTTCTTGTAGTTAGGGGTTTATGGAACTCCAATTGATGTATTGATTTGATTCTTGCTTCTGAAATTTGAGTATTTGGATTAATTGAGTTGTTAATTCTGCACTTTTACATAATCTTTGAATGGAAATTCATTTGATTAACCTTAGCGGAATAATTGCCAATGGGAATTGGATTTGATTCTCTGATCTGAATGAACAACCAGAATTAGGAGTTTCTTAGGGATAAGTACACTTAATTCTGCAATCCTAATGTTCCAAGTCTTATGCAACATGAAATTGAACTTCACCTAAGGGATTAGGGTGGTTTAGTTACTTGTTAGGGTCAATGAGTTAAGGGATTAACCTTTGGCTATTGATATGCAAAACTGATTGCAATTAACCAAGTTCTTGAATTTTTAGAAGCATAATTGAATTAATATTGACATTCTTGTGAAGTAAATTCCTAACTACCTTTCAATCCATTTCTAATTCCCACATTGCATTCATTGATCTGTTTTATGCAAGTTTCCTTTACTCTTAATTGTTTTAGTTTACTGCTGTTAGATGTTACAAACCTTATTCAATTTTCGTATGGCTCAAATGGTTACAATTTTGTGAATTGATACTTGAAATCTCAATTCCCTGTGGAGACGATATCCTGATCTTAAAAATTACTCATTACTTGCTTCAATACTAGTGCACTTGCTAGTGTTTAGATTGCAAACAACATTGAACGTTGCACCTACTCAACTGCATCTGAATGGGTGGGCGGCCATGCAAGCGTTCTGGGACCTTTGTAAATTTCATTACATAGAACCTAGGGTAGGCTTATTTTTGCATTTTTTTTGTACGCGTCCATTTGATAAGGCGAAATGGGTGTCTTTAATAAGGCAGGTCGATTTGCCCCTATTCAAACCTTTAAGGTAACTTTGAACCCTATAGGTAAGAAATATTTTTTTGACAAGGAAAACTGACCCCTCTTTTCTTTCCACTAGACCGGGGTACCTCGTCGATATGACGTTTATCCCAAGGAAATGTTGTTGGCTCTGGAGTATATAGCTCCCTGCCCGCTCCTTAGCTCTGTTGTTGAAGTCCCCCTAACCCCGGGTGGATCTGGATAGTATGTTTCATATTTTTGCTTTTGTTACACATGAACATTAGGTTATATTGACTCTACCTGTTTGTATTGCAGGGTTAATTGCGCAAAGAAGAGCTAGATTGGGCTATCGGCATGGTCTTAAGCTGAAGGCTCCTGAAGGTCCTCCGGCCCATGTCCATCGACACCCTGTAATAGATTAGTTGCCCCTAGTAACTGAAGCCCATTCTCCTCCTCAAGACCCTGCCCTTGCCGAACGTTGATCAAAGAAAAGAAAAGACAAAGGCAAGGAGAAGGAGTCAGAGAAAGAGAAAAGACCTAAGCATGCTCTTGACGCTGGGTCAAGTGGCCGGGAAGTTCCTCTGCTCCCACCGTCATGCCGACTAACACCATATTGGAATCGTTCTTTGCTGAAGGTTTTCGGGTCAACCGAATGGTGTGTCCGGATTCCTTATTAGAGTCGGCACAAGTCCTTATAAATAAGCAGACCCACAGGACTCGCTGGCAATGGTATTGCGAGTTTCAGGCGCAAGCCATGGCGATGGTACACAGCTTTGGATTGGAACCCCTGCAAGAGCTAGAAAGGGTCCAAGGCCGACTCGTCTCCTCCGAACAGGCTCTGGCCCAGAGTGAAGAGGTCCGATCAAGCTTGGTCGAGACCAATAAGTTACTGGAGGAGGAATTGGCTTAGCTGAAAGAGCATTTCTATAGCATGGGTAACCGGTTGCGGGCTGCCGAGAAGGCGCTGGAGGCGAAAAATTCTAAACTTAAGGCAAAGAGTTCGGAATTGGAGGCGAAGGGCTCATAATTGGACCAAAAGAAGGAAAGGTATGAAACCGAGCTGAGGGCTCTGACCGACGAATGTAATATAAAAATTGTTGCAAAGCACGAAGCTGGTTTCAATCATGTTGTTCGCCAAGCTGTGGAGTTCTGCCAGATCCCCTCAGGCTTTAGTTTTGACCTAACGCGGAACTTCTTTGGTGGGAAATTCCTACCATATGATGAAATGGATGAGGAGGTGGAACCCGATGCCTTGGCACCAAGCCACCACAGGAACCCGACTGAAGAGGTTGCCCCGCTCCATCAGGGCCCCAAAGGGGGAATATAGTTTTTTTTTTTTTTTGTTACCAGGGGCGGATAGTGCCTAATTTTTTGTAATGCTCATCGGTCAATGAATATCAACATTTTCTGAAACTGCTTCTTATTATTAGCCGACTAGTAATATTTTTATGAGCAACGCTAACATCAACCCATTGGGTATAATCAATTAACTATTATAACGATTTCTTCTAGCAACTAATCCTTGACCGAGTAGGGATACGCGGTAGGGGATATAAGAAGTACTTGGGTTTTTAATAAGTTATTCATCCTTTACCGAGTAGAGGTACTCGGGAGGGAATTAATTGATTCAACCTTGGCCAAGTAATAGTACTCGGGAGGGAGCTTATATTTAGTGAGCCATCCATGACCGAGTAGGGGTACTCGGTGAGGAAATTAATTAATTCAACCTTGGCCAAGTAGAAATACTTGGGAGGGAATTTAAATGATTCGTCCTTGATCGAGTAGGGGTACTCGGGAGGGAATTAGTTAATTCAACCTTGGCCAAGTAGAAATACTTGGGAGGGATATTTTAATAAGTGATTCATCCTTGACCGAGTAAGGGTACTCAGGACGAAATTAGTTAATTCAACCTTGGCCAAGTAGAAATACTTTGGAGGGAATTTTAATAAGTGATTCAGTCTTGACCGAGTAGGGGTACTCGGGAGGGAATTAGGTAATTCAACCACGGTGACAATTAGGAATTTACATTGCTCTTTTGCTAAGAGAAAAAGACCGTGAAGGTCCATTTCCCAAATAGCAAAGGGCCAAGGAGAACTAATGGGGTGAAGGGTGTCGGTTTGTTGATGTAAATAAGGACCGTGTTGTTGACAGGGAATGCATTTCTTCACAAATGTTTGGCAATCTTGGGCAAGTGTCGACCAAAAGTATCTGGCTCAAAGTATCTTAGCGGCCATGGTGTGTCCACCCACATGGGTACCACAGATACCGTCATGAATTTCCCTCATGACATAGCTGGCTTGATCTTCATTGAGACATTTAAGCATAGGCGTTGAAATTCCTCTTCTGTATAATTCGTTGCCGAGAAGGAGGTACTTAGCTGTATGCATACGTATTTTCTTAGCCGAAGCTGGATCCTTTGGTAAGCTGCTGCTGGTGAGGTATTGAATAATCGGAGTCATCCAATTTTTAGGCATATTTTCTATGTCCATGCACTCTTGTTTGGCGATACTAGGTTGAGGGATTTCCTGATGAATCACGCTTTGCAATTGCCCATTTGACTATTAAGCCTGGCAAGCCTATCGGCTTGTTCGTTCATGGTCCTTGGTGTGTGTCGAACATGTACTTCGTCAAATTCATTCTTTATATTTTTGAATTCTTGATAATATTAGAGCATAATGGCATCCTTCACCTGATATGTTCCATTGACCTGTTCGGCCACTATCTTTGAATCGCTCCAACAAGTGATGCGTTTTACTCTAATTTCTTTTGCCAATCTGAGACCCGCTAGTAGTGCTTCATACTCAGCTTGATTGTTGGAAACTTTGAATCCAAATCGAATAGAATGTTCAATAGTTACAGTGTTCGGCCTTTCAAGTATAATTCCTACGCCACTATCCAGTCAGTTTGATGATCCATCAACATGCAGGTTCCACATGTCAGAGCTAGTGTGTTTCTGGGAACTTATTGACAAAATATGCAAGAATTTGAGCTTTAAGAGGGCGTTGGTTTTTGAAATGGATATCAAATTGGGATAACTCAATTGTCCATGTTACCAACCGACCAGCCAACTCTGCTTTTCTCAAAACTTTGGCCATTGGGCAATCTGTACGTACCACCACCTTTGGAAGTAATGTCTTAATCGACGAGTTGTGTGGACTAGGGCCAGCACTACTTTTTCCATTAACTGATAGCGTGTTTCAGGGCCTTGGAGTGTTCGACTTATGAAGTATACATGGGCCGATTTGGGTGTTTCTTGTAGTAAGATCTAACTGATGGCGTTATCTGACATGGCCAAGTAAATAATCATATCCTTTTCTGGCTTCGATTTTGTCAACACAGGCAGTGTCGCTAACATATTTTTATATTTGATGAAGGCCGCTTCACATTCGTCAGTCCAAGTAAACTTTTGGAATTTTTTAAGTAGGTCAATAAAAGGCTGAGACCTGTCTGCCATTATGGGCAAAAATTTTGGCAAGGGCAGTAATACGACCGGCAAGTCTTTGGACCTCCTTAACATTCTGGGGACTGGTCATTTCGATTACGACTTAGCACTTGTCAGGGTTCGCCTGGATTCTCCTTTCGGATAACATAAACCCCAGAAACTTGCCACCGACGACCCCCGAACGTACACTTTTCGGGCTTAAACTACATCCCATGTTTCCTGGCTTCCTCGAATACCACCTTTAAATGAGCCAAATGTTGTTCCAAGGTAGTAGATTTAACCACCATGTCGTCTACATACACTTCCCTACATTTTCCCACTCGTCTTTCAAAAATTTTATTCATCAGTCTTTAACATGTTGCCCCTACATTCTTTAGGCCGAATGGCATTACATGATAACAGAAATTTGCCAAGTCCGTGATGAATGCCATCTTTTCTTCATCTGGGGGATACATCCGGATCTGATTGTACCCAGAGTAAGCATCCAAAAAACTGAGTATCCTATGGCCAGCTGCACCGTCCACTAGGGTATCAATATTTGGTAGAGGATATGCGTCCTTTGGGCATGCCTTGTTGAGGTCCATGAAGTCTGTGCACATTTTCCATTTACCATTTGCTTTTTTAACCATGACCATATTGGCCAACCAAGTGGAATATCTAAGTAGTATATTGTACGAGGTATTTGCGTGTACTACCAGGTAAGTGACCTTGATACGCTTTCCCTTGTGTTTTGACCCGAATGAGGTGTAAAGGTCAATACATCCTCGGGTCTCTACTCGTTCCTTAGAGAAACCAACCAGGGGTTCTTGATATTCTCCGAGTTCTTCTTCTAGTATACCCAGATGCTTGAACGTATTCCAGTATAGGATGTCGCCCGAGCTTCCTTGATCAATTAGTGTTTTCCGGACGGTGCAATTAAGGATGTCCACACTTATGACCATGGGATCATCCTGTACTAGATCTACTGCCTGAAAGTCTTCGTCCGTAAATGTAATGGGTGGGATCCGGATTCTACTACCCAATGACACATTGTTGACGGAGCGTACTTGGCTCAAATGTCTTTCTCTAGCCGAATGGGTGGGTCCTCCACCTGTGAACCCACCGGCATTGGTATTAATAACCCTTTTAGGATACTTCTCACGTTCATCGTATCGTGTGGTGGGAGGTTCCCTTGACCGACTTCGTTGCCTTTTAGGTTGCTTATTATGGTACCTTCTTGATGAATCGGGGTAAGGGTCTCTCCCCCTTTCGGAATGACCAGTGGGGTTTGTCTGCACAAATCCTCTAAGGTGCCCGTCCTTGATCAAATCTTCAATTTTATCTCTCAAGGCCGTGCACTCCTCTATTGTATGGCCCCTATTGTGATGATACCAGCAAGATTTGCTCTTATCTGCCCGAGGGGGGGTATTGGCGCGCCTGGGCATACTCAAGATTTCTGTTGCCAAGGCCTGATCAAGTATGCTGGACCGGATAGTGTTGAGTGCAGTGTAAGAGGGATATTTGGGCCCCCTGGGCGGCCTCTCAAGCTCATTCCTTCTTTCTTTGTTTTCTTGCCAAGATTTGAAAGTTTCTCTCTTATCTATATTTTTTGAATTGGACCTCTGGTCTGTTCGAACTTGATTTTGGTACTCGGCTAATTCCTCCATCTACATATACTTTGCAGCCTGACTCCGCAATTCATCCAGGTTAGCTGGTGGTTTTTTGCATATGCTGCTAACGAAAAAACCTGGCTTAAAGGCCGTTGTAAGGTGGTGTCTGGCCACAGCTGGTTCCAGATTATGAATTGAAAGGGTCACCTTGCCGAATCGTTCCATGAACGCTCAGAGTAATTCTCTTTTTTCCTGACGAATGTTAACAAGTGCTAGGGATGTCAAGGGGTGAGGTCGGCTTGTGGCAAACTGGAGGTTGAATCATCTTGTAAGAGTTGCAAAAGAGTCAATAGATGAAGGGGGGAGTCGGGTGAACCAACTGAGAGCTGGTCCTCGAAGCGAGGTGGGGAAAATCCTGCACCATAAGGCATCATTTTCTGTATACAGGGCAACTTGAGTCATGAAAATATCCAAGTGTTCTCCTAGGTCAGGCGTCCCATCATACTTTTCTAATGTTAAACCTCTCCAGTTATCAGGTAACTTGGCCTCTAAGATAAGCTGAGTAAAAGGGCTTCGACTCAGGCCGTCGTCTCGTTCAGTAGGGGTTCCAACTTGTAGAGTGCCCTTTGATTTTTCTTGCAATGCCGAAGACTCTCCTTGCTCTTGAGCGAAAGGGGTAGTATGAGAGGGTATATGGGTTTTGATTTCCTCCCTCAAGTTAGCGTTCTCTCTTCTTAAGGCCGACATCTCAAGAGCATCTTTCTCTCTGGCCTGTTGCATTTCTTTCATCTCGGCCTGGAGCTGTCTTACTGCAGAAAAAAGGCTTTCATCACCCTCCCTAGCGGCCGCAACTTCAGGGATCAGTTGATTGGGTGTCACACCTTCTTGTTGACGAGAAGTTCCTCCTTGATAATTCTGCCCCTCTTGTTGGCTTCATGTTAATACCATGATGATTGAAAAAGCAAGGCAATTCGTGCCCCACGGTGGGCGCCAAAATGTTCCTGCTATGGAAACACCAGTCTTTGAGTCTCTGCTTGGATAGGGTGACGTCCTTTCGTATCTTGTTGACGTTGCTTGACGTGGGGAGGGTACCTGCAAAAGGCACTCCGATGTTGAAGTCAGGTCTCGGGTCTGAGCAATGAATACTATTGTTTAATTAAAAGTCCACCTTTTACCTTACTTCTTACCTTTTTTTTATAGGAGATATTATGGGCTAATGGGCCTTGTTGGTAAGCTCTGATCCTGATAATTAATTTATTAATTATAAATTTATAATTAACATGCTTTGTGAGGTACTCGTCCCTCGTAGGCCGAGTAAGTATTCGGTTTTCTCTTTTTGTAAGTAAGACTGAGTAATGTCCTATCCGGTACATTATATATTATAATTTTTAACAAAATTAAAATTATTATATATAACTTTTTGTGTGATATTTATCATATGATTATATTTTCTAAAATTTCTCACTCACACACACCTTACAATTCAACTCATTCCCTTTCTATAGCTGAAAAGAATCCTATAGCCCATATATCTTATTCCTTGTTTTACGCATCTTCAAGTTTCCTATTTCAATTAATATTTCTTACTTTACTGTCGAGTTAACTGTCATTGAATTTTGTCTCTACAGTAATTTCCAGAATTGTTGATAAATTACGATAGCACCACACTTGTTACTGATTTTTATTATTAATTGAAAAGTTATTATCTGAAATTCAACCATTATTATTAAATCTTACAATAACATAATATTTTTAATAAAATATTTCTTATCAAAATAAATTAAACTCAAACTCTTAATTTGTTTGGAAACAAAAACAATAATAAAAAAAAAACTCTTAAGATAGAAATAACTGTTAGTCAAAGTAGTTGATGGTTGGTCAAAGAATTGTTTGACAAAAAATTGAAAGTGTAGTTAAGACTATTCTACAAATGTTAGCATGTAATGAAAAGCAAACTTGAGGAAGGAATGTAATGCATGGAATTCGATGTTGTTGAATATGATGCTCACCTAATTATAGTATCACTGATTCTAATGATTTCGTGGTCAACTATAATTAAGTTCTTAATGTTGTCGTCATCAAAGTAACAATTCTGATTAAAACTAATTGGTTACATATGGAGTAACAAATATGATTATGGTAATTAATATCTTTAAAATAAGGATTTTTCCATCTTATAAACTTGCACAGGTAAAGCCTCGTTAGATACACATTTTTGACTTATTAAAAAATAAATTAAACATTTTTTCTCTTATTTATTATTTTTATTATTACAATTGTTTCTTTTTAATTGGTTAAAAATAGATAATTAATAACGCTTAATTTATGTAAGTTTGCACGGGATAGAAAAATCCATAAATGATATTAATTAAAATATCAAAAATATATAAAAACATTTATTAAAACTATGTTTGAAATATTTTGAAAATCAAACAAGTAAATTATTATGCTTTTAAATAAAAATTTACTTTAAAAATTGTGTTTAAAAAAAGTATTAGTGTTTGTTATAATAATATTAATTAAAAATAAGGAAATAATTTAAAGATAATAATTAGAAAAAAAAAGTTATTCAAACGAGTTTGTGGTGAATATCAATATCCCAAACTCAATCCTTCAAATCTAATCAGAAAGAGTAAGAATCAGGCTGTAAGAGTTGAAATTTCATTACCATAAGTGGATAAATTAATGGGTTTGGGTATCATTATATACAGTAAAGAGATTGAAAGAGAAGGAATGAGGTCAATTATCCATTGCTTTTTTGGGGTTACATGACGTGTTGCTTACAGAGGGTGTTCCATTTATGAAAAGGTTCCACCCATTACAGGAGCAAAATATATTCTATTTGTGAGAAAGTTTTGCTCATTCTAAATATGAAATTAATTTTTTTAATATTTTTATTATTTTTGCTCTTGACATAGTCAAAAATTACTGCATATTCATTCTAAGCAACACTAAACTGAAAAATTATTTTCTTTTATACAATTTTTAATAAATACGTCAACAGTCAAATTTTATCGCTAAGTGATTAAAGTTGTTATATGAATTATATGATATTATTGAGTTCAATAAAAAAAATTTATGAATAATATTTTTTTAAAATATTACAAAAAACCTCAAGATGCAGCAAATTAAAAGAATGTTTAGGATAGTGAAGCTTCAATAATTTTTTTTTCTCTCAAGATAATATGATACTTTTAAAATATAACGGAGTTTTTGATTCATTAATTTCAATATATGCATTTATTTTCATGAAAGTCAAATATTTATATATCTTTTATATACAACGTACATCCTGTTAGCAATAAACCACTCTATATATTAATTATTTTTTATTACAAAAATTATTTTATTATAATAATTAAATAAAAGATAATTTGATTTTCACTTTAATAAGCTTTTTTATTTAAAATAAAAAATATTTTAAAAATATTTTAATTTTTCAAAAATTTTGAAATATGTCCTTATTGTACTATACATAAGTTGTATAAAGTGAAATGAATTA